TGCGTGCGTGCGTGCGTGCGTGCGCGTGTGTGTACACTAACTTTTGCGTGCTGTGTGGATAGTCTTAAACTTTTTGTCAGTAGTGTATAACTATTGATTAGTTTTATATTCTTATACAGTCAAGTTTTTATATCAAAGTATAATTGTGATACGTTAATACTATATGGACTCACCAACTTCTGTGTCGCAAAAGAACAAGAAAAATTTTTTAGTTAGTAATTTATCTATTATATTTATTATGTGCGCAAAGCACTTTAGCTAACCCGCATTTTTAAGTCTATTCAATATCTATTTGATGTTAAAAATGCTAGAGTTTTATCCATCTGTTATGAAGTTGTACAATCGTACTATCCAATACGAGATACAATTTGAGCAAAAAATGTATCGCTAAAAGCACTGTGAGAATACAAGTCGAGACGTTTAAGAACTCCAACACAATGAATGGAATAAGAAATAATAAACAAAGAATAACAGATTTCAATCTACCAGAAACTAGATAACCGGAATACACGGTTTCTTAGATTTAAATCTGTTATTTCTTGTTCCTTATTTCTTTCACTGCGTCTGAGTCTAATAAAAGTAAGTCAATTGTGTTGTGTATGTTACATGAAGATTATTCGATTATTCAATTAAAACCCATTTCCTTCGTTCGTTTTGCGTATAAAATGTATACTCTGTTCTTTCGTACGTATAAATAAAATTGAAAAAAGATTGAGAAACAATGTTGAAACAATTTTCAAGGTTCCAGTCGACAGTTAATAATATATGTATACTATTCTGTTACGCACAACGTTTCTAAAAATAGTTCGCGAATATAATATTTAACTTTTATTCATTTATATTTCATTTTGATTAAAATGTATGTAAATTCTTAAACATGATTACCGCACACATATATTAATTTTTAAATAAATTGTTAAATTTATAGAAAAATTATTTACCTCGTATATACGAAGACTGTCCCGTTTACTATTTTGAGCGTCATATTTCCGTGGAGAAACGTTAGGCCACTTCGGGCACTTGACAAGGTCGCAAAAGCATCCTTCGCGGACATGATATCATCCATTCGAAGAATTGGTGTACCCGGTAATAACATGGTCATTAACACGATACTATCAGCGACTTCTTTAGGCATGCGTTGCCTCAAGGAAAGCTGTTTGCCATTCACCTGCGATTGACATACACACATATTTAAAAAATCAAAGACTTAAAACAATATTAAACAAAGTATCTTTAAGCCAGTAATGTGAATATACAACTAAGAAATGAAAGTCTTATACGGTCTGAGCTGGATTTTTAATTCCTCAATAATTCGGTGTAAATTTTACATATACAGGGTGTCCCGTAAAGACCCGAACAACGCTCAAGGGGAGATTCCTGAGATCATTTTGAGACGAAAATTCTAATATCAAAATGTTGATGCTATAATAACTTTTGAGTCATAATTGGTTAAAGATAGTGTGTAATTCAAAAACTATTATATTCGATATTTTCGTATTAGGATTTTCATCTTAGAATGTTCAAAAAAATCCAGAAATAATAATAGAGGTTATAAAAGTAAAATGGTTTTTTACTTATAAATATTTAAAGTTAGCTTATAATTTAAAAAATTGTAGCCTCGACATTTAGCATTATACAAGGTGTCCGACCGATGACTAAAACCTCTTGAATGTTATTCAGGATCATGTCTTGAATAATATTTGTCAAGATCAAGGCCATTAGAGATTATTTCTCTTATTTTCATTTTGCACTAAAAATTCATTTTTACATAAAAATGAAAATAAGAGGTACAATCTCCAATGACATCCTTAAAATTATTTAATAAAATTAATCTTGATATACTTACGTTCCACGCAGGCCATGATGTAACCGCAAGCCATTGCGATATGCTTCTACGCAGATCCGTCGCGTTTATGCTCGCATTGGCAGTAGTGAGAAAATGTGAACTCTGCGGTAGATCAATCGTTGTCTTATCGTTATAAACTTGCAAAATATCTGCACGGATGTCATCTTGTAACGCAAATAATCTATAAATAACAGCATCACGTTAGTAAATATTGATGACATGTCTAATTACAAAATTAAGAGCATACCCTTTGCCAGCGGTTTCATTGCGAACGATCTCTTGCCATTTTGACAATACTGCAGCGTTTTCTGAACGATCGCGTGTATAAATGTGTACCAGCGATTGGTAATTGTTCAGTTCTACGGGAAGAATACTCCTAGATTCGTCACGCAGACTCGGATCTTCCGTTAGATATTGCGTGTCCGCCAAACGAAAACCACTAATGCCTAATTTAAGCCAATGAGTCAAGATATCCTTCAAAATAAATAGGACATAAGATATAAATCAAGGCATGATAAATCGATCGATTAAAGTAGAAAAAACCTACTCCAAATTCTGCTACCACTGCTGGGTCGTTATAGTTCAAGTCAGCTTGCGACTTATTAAACTGATGAAGATAATATTGGCCCCTTTGTTCATTCCATTCCCATGCGGATTCACCATATATACTTAACTGCAAGAGCATATTTTAAGTTAATATGCGTTATTCTCTTTCTGTCAGAAAATTACATGCCAGAGAGAAACATAACTAACTAACCCAATTATTCGGAGGACGTCTTTCTTTTCCGCTGTTAGAGCTGATTATTCCATCAGCCCAGACATAATAGGACGTGAATGGATCCTGTCTTTTTACAGATTGTTTAAACCATGGATGATCAACGGAGGAATGGTTGGGATCCAACTCCAAGAAGATCTGTTGA